TAGTTGAAAAGCAATTTACGAAATCTTAAGAAAAGCGGCGCTATTGAAAAGTTAAATGCTTCAAAGTGATGGCTTCACGGAAATTACGATCTTTAAAATTCTGAAGTGAACTGTTTCATTTGTCAAACCAAAACAGTTTCTCAGTCGCTCCTACATGTTGAGAAAGTGTTGTTTAAGTAGCATAGCTCCTCATCCATGAACGTACCGGAAGATAACGCGTTGTCGAGCCACAGCGCATTCAACATCTCTTAAGAGCTAGAGGAATTACTAAGAAAATGCTCGATTTACCAGTTTAGACTATGTAAACAGCCCCCGCCTCCCTTCCTTCAGGAAGAATTTAGGGAGTCCTCCGACAAAATACAGGAGTACTTCATTCAGACGCTAATGGCTGATCAACACCTAAAAGGTGCAAGTATCCAATGCCTGACCTGAAACGCCAAGAAATTAACTAACAGTCATAGACTGAGTGAAATACACAGAATAAAATACCGTACTCCCAAAGGAACGCGAGACAACAAAAACAGCCTAACTCGAAACCACTGAAGAAGTAAATCCCAACGCTACAACTGCTGCTGATATGCTCGAGCAGCAGACGCCAAACGGCACATTGCTCGTGCGCCTCACTGTGGTCGCTCGAGCAGCACGCGATCAACCTGACTGTCTTCATCTGATTTAACCGTTAGAAATGAGAATTACAATTACAACAAATGGTAGAGGCAATTCCTGATAAGTTGTTCAGTTGATAAACAAAATCTAAAAATTAACTGATATATGAATGACCACACTAATCCTCTGGATGTGAATTACCAAATATCACCCCTCCCTGTAGCCTGATTTGTTATTAAGTAGATATATAAAACTAGTAGAAAATAATTCATATATGGATGACCATACTATTTCTCCAGATGTGAATCACGAAATATCACTCGCCACCCCCAATATCCTGACTTCTCTCTTACCAATACACTCAATATTCTATCAGGGTAAAGATAAATATTGCCTTTCGTTTGCGGGCTTTTCCCTGACATTTTTTTGATAACGTCAGTGGATTTGTCTTGCCAAACAAAAACAGGGGCTTTCACAAAAGTTCAGAAGGCTTCAGGGAACTTTTCTGCGAAGGTGGTTGAAATTAATAAACTATTAAATAAAAATGGAGGATTAGGTCTGCAGAGGTTGAAAGATTAGGAAATGCTGAGTTTAGCTGCATAGAAAAATAACTGCAACGAATATTACAGTGTGAGTATAGGAGGTGATAGTGTACAACAGAGAGAAAATTTGGAAAAAGAAAACGATCATGGGCAGTAGTCCAAAAGGTGGCAGAATTAACCTAAGCTGCCCCACCTAGGCTGTGTGAAACAAAACAGTCTCCAAGTCTAGAACTGTAGGGTAATGCATTTGGGGAGACCATAAAAAGTAAAGCAACATGCAATTTCGAATACTGAGAGGTGTTTAGGAAGTGAGGGACCGTGGAGTGAATGTCCACAGATCCCTGAAAGTAGCATATTGATAATGTGGTCAGAAAGGCATATTTAAATACTTCCTTTATTGGTTAAGGATGTAATATAGATGATTGTATTAGTACTGTGTAAAGTATTAATAACAATAGTAACATTAGATTTCCCTGACCATGTTTAACCTGATGCCATGAGAATTCACACAGTCTAAAGTCAATGCTGAGTACTGAAAGGGCAATTCTGTCCTGATTGTACACCACTGTGCCACCATCTTTGTACAGTTTGTCATGCTGGTGCGATAGGACATATCCAGGGGCTGTTAATGCGTGGAAAATTGACTATAAAGTGTGATTCTGCCAGTATGTCCATGCCAGACCGTCACTTTACAAATCTGTGGGACACCTCTCCCAATTTTGGCTCAATCCACAAAGGGGATTTTGCAGGGTGAACAAGGCCAGGTATGATATCGTTATTCCCATCGCTTAGCTTGAAGCGATATGATGTCAGGTTTTATTGCTCTTTGACTTTGCTTAGTCTATGTAAATAGTGACCCCCTCACCTCCCCAGTGAGGTTAGGGATTTAGGGATTCCTCCTGCAAAATAGACAAGCATTTCATTCAGACACTGGTGGCTGATTGGCAACCTGTAAAGGATGTGAGTCTACATGCCTGAACTGACACAGGAGTGCTTTGCTGGGCCATTTCAGAGAACAGTTAAGACTCAACCAACCACATTAGTTTAATGTGCAGGTGCAGGTGTTGGATGAGGATGGACAAGGTCAGAAATCACACGACACCAGATGATAGTCCAACAGGTTTATTTAAAAACACAAGTTTTCAGAGTCTTACTCCTTCTTTGGGTGTTAGCGAGAGTAGTAGTATCAGACACAGAATTTATAAGTAAAAGATCAAAAGGGTCACACTACTGATGAGGATGTACTAAAAAAAAACCTAAGATGCTCTTTAATGAGTTAGAAGGTTTTAATTGATTAATATGTATATGTAAATCCCTGAATTCCTTTGAAGTCACTGTCCTGAGAGAACTATAGGTTTTATCAGTGTAAAGAAGAGGTGACATTTTAGGTCAGACAATGCATGTTAGGTGTGAGGCCTTGTTTAGAAT